CGTTTCCTCTGATTTCCTAACTAGTGTGTTCAGCTCTGTACTTGACATTTCTATTTAGATGTTTTACAGGCTTCTCAGACTTAACATATCCCAAATGGAACTCTTGGATCTTCCCCCAAACTTGTTAGTCTTTCCTATCATCAAATGGTAATATTCTGCCTTTTTGCTCCCCAATTCCCAGTCCATCTGCAAACCTGTCATTCATATCTGCTATCTATAACTTGAACTATCCATCCCTCTCCATTTCTACTCTCCCTACATAAGTTAAGCCACCACCCAATCTCACCTGGACTACTGCAATTGCTTCCTGATTATTTTCTCCTACTTATACCTTCTTCCAAACTGCTCTCCATGTAAGTCAGATCAAATATTTGAAGTATTTGAAGTTATAAACCAGACTGTGTTTTTCTCTTAATCAAAATCATTCAATGACATTCCATTGCCTCGCCCCCACCCAAAAAAATATCTGAATTATTTACCGTGACCTGTGGGACTCTGTGTGATTTGGAGCTTGCTTTATCTAGCAGCTTCGTGTGATGCCACTTCCCCTTTGTCTCCTGTGCACTAGCAGTACTCCTGTCCTTTTGGTTCCTTGATCTCTGCATAGCTCTTTTCTTTGCCTGAAACAGCCCAGTGCCCTGTTTCTTGAATGGCTGCTCCATCTCATCTTTTGGTCAATATTGTTGCCATCCCTTGAGAACTGCCTCTGACCACATTATCTCAGTAGGGCTTTCTCTTCCATTTTCTAATGTTTTTATTCCTTCTTTGGTTTTGTAACAGCACTATTAGAAGCTGTAGGTTTTTTGGTATACTTGTTTATCATTTCTCGCTAACTAGACAGAAAGCCTGTGAAGGCAGGGGCCCTGTCTATATTGTTCAGTGTTATATATCCAGAACTTGTTACAGTGCCCAGTGTAGTTGTAGGCTCAATTTGCAAAATGGATAATGAAACCTAAAGTGAAGCTCACATGTAGAAGTTTCTCACTGGGAGACTAGAATCAAACTGTTCATCCTCAGGCTTCATACCATTCATGCACTGGACCTGTAAACAACTTGAAGATGAAGCAGAATGCTGCTGGAGAGGCTCTGAATGGCTGACAGGCATTTAAAAGGCAGCATGAAGGTTTAAGTCTATGGCTCAAATAGTCACTGCTTTTCTTCCTTGTTTTTCATATTCCTAGGCACGGGATGCTACGAGAAACACATCTAAGGCTGGTCGTGGCCCTGGTCTCCTGGGTTTATTTCTGGAGATCCTCCAATGTGGTCTCCCTACCTTAGTAAAAAATACGGTTTTTTGCTAAGACAACTATCTGAATTCCTCGCATTCCTTAGTTCCTTAAACTGAGTTGAAAGCTTCCCAGGGAGGATTTTCATTGTGTTTGGTGCAGCGTGGCAGAACGGAAAGGACTTTGAACCAGAAGTTGGCTTGGATTTTTGTTCTAGTCCTGATTACCTTGGAAAACAAAATGAAAGAAAACCCTAAATAGCAGTTTTCCCACCTGTGAAACAAGAAAATTGTGTGAGATGGTTTCTAAGGTTTCTCCTAGCTTCCATCATCCTGAAATCTCTGATTCCTGTGGAAATTATGGATACTGAGGTAAAGGCAAAACTGCAGATTTTCAGGAAGCAGACCCTTTCCCTGGAGTCATTTTTATGGAGAAATAGTGAACACTCCCATAGACTACCCCAGCAAGTAGGAGAGGGAGAATGATAAATTCTTTGGAGATTGAGAACCCTTTAAGTTACGCTGTTTGACTTCCCTTGCCAGACCTTTAGTTTATTGGAAATTGTCCAAGGAAACAATCTTTTAGAATCCACTGATTTTGGGCTTTTGTTGACTTCACCCTACCAGGAATTTAAAAAGTCAATCAATTGAGAATAAGTACCTCCTTGTAAGCTGTGGCACCCAGAAAAAGAATCTTTTTCACTGTAATGAAAACATCAGTCACTTAGTCACCCGGAGGATTACTCTTTCCTGAAAAATACACAACAGATGAGGTGGGCGGGGAGGGAGAGAGAAAGGGAGGGGGGAAAGAGAGAGAGGGAGAGAGAGAGAGAGAAAGAGAGAGAGGGAGAGAGAGAGAATGAGAATACAGACTTCTTCCTCTACTCACAGATATTATAAAGCTGAATCAGGAGGATTCTAAGTAAATTCCTGGCTTTTAATGTGAATTTTAGTTTTCACAGTTGGCAACAGCTTGCATCCCTCTTTTTAATTGTTCCTACTCTGGACTGGCCTTTATACTAAGTTCTTTTCCATTTATTCTTAAATCATCCTATGGGTTGGATGGTAGTAGCTCATTGTTATTCCAGGTGAAGAAACTGAGGTGCTTAAAGGTTTGAAGTAACTTGCTAAATTAAGGCCCATTTAGTCAGTGATTGAGTTGGGATTTGAACCAGGTAAATGAGTAATGATTCTTTGAGTCTGTGGTGTAAACACATTTTCAGCATTTTTAATGGGAGTAAAAAAGAAAGTAGGAAATTAATGACATGCAATTCACAAATCAGGTGCATTCATTCTCTTTTTTCTGGAGATCCTGGGTGTTTTCTTTTCATCCAGTCCTATCAATAGCCTTCCTTTCTAGAATGATGATACTTACAGAGAGTATTCATTTTAAACATTCTAGAAGTGAAATAGAAACCTGAGTTAAAACACCGAATAATTGTATTTTGTATGATCACGTAGTAGTGTTTCTTAAAGCACAACCTTATTTGTAACTTAGAATCATCAAGACCTGTTGCTTTAAATATTTTAATAAAACAGGATTTCCCCTCCCCCATTGAGGCCCACTTTTCTCCCCAGTCACTTTAATTATGTGAGCTAGAATGCTGTTTCTCACACATCTTCAGTTCTCAACCTTGTTAAAATTAATCATATAATCCCCCTTTAAAACATAGTATTAAATCACCATAGTAACACAGTATCCAAGCTTTATAGATAAAACATAACAGCCATAAGAAGGTAGCATTTGGTGTCCCCTTGACGGCTCTATAACTTTTATAGAAATGTGTTCCTTCTCCTGGCTGTGTAAGGTGGAGGGATAGCATTACTTACACCTGCTTTATGACCACGTTGCTTTTAAATTGCCACCTTGTTTTTGTTCACCTTCCCAGTTAAATAAGGAGAGTGGAACACCTTTTCTTTCTGAATTATTTTCTTGTACACTCTAATTACTCTCTAAGGGATGGAGTTGTGTCCTTAAATATGAACAGGCAGAATCCATTGACCTTTGTATTGGAATACCTTGAAATTCCCTTAATTTTCATTATTTATGTGGCTGTATAAGGGAGTTTTAGAAAGTCTACCCTGCCTTTGAAAGCTTAATTCGTATCATATCCAAAGACTCAATAAGAATTCTGCCTTTGGAAAAAGCTTGGTAAACCATGAGTTTTAAATTTCTTCTGATAATTTATAAAGTAATTGATAGCTGGTAGCATAGATTTGAATATTTTACCAATTTGAATATTGTAAAATACAGTGAGTTGATGAGTCCCTTTGAATAGCTCAGTGTCAAATTCTAGCATATTATGTTAGTATAAATTCATGTATTAGAATTTGAATTTTTTAACCAAAAATATTTAAATCTTCAGAGAAAAAAAATCTTCTTTTTCTGAGATAATTACAGTAACTTACAAAAATGGATATACATCTTCAAAGCATTTCCTCTTAATGGAAAATTTAGTTTTATAGGATCTAAACATTTAAAGGTAAAAAGAAAATTCTATTTTGTTGCCACTATAAGACAAAACTGAATCTAGCATAAGGTAGGGAAACCCATTCACTCTTCAGGTTCTTCTCTGACAGGAACTGGCATTGTTATATTATTTCCACTTAGCGAAATCTGCTCTAATTTAATTGTATTTCTTCCTGGCCAGGCGCGGTGGCTCACGCCTGTAATCCCAGCACTTTGGGAGGCTGAGGTGGGCAGATCACGAGGTCAGGAGTTCAAGACCAGCTTGGCAACATGCTGAAACCCCATCTCTACTAAAAATACAAAAATTAGCTGAGCATGGAGGCGCGTGCCTGTAATCCCAGCTACTTGGGAGGCTGAGGCAGGAGAATTGCTGAACTGGGACCCGGAAGGCAGAGATTGCAGTGAGTCGAGATCGCGCCACTGCACTCCAGCCTGGGCTACAGAGCGAGATTCCGTCTCAAAAAAAATAGCAAAAGTTTCTATTTCTTAGAAGACATCATGCAATGCTAGACGTTTTGGTTATTTTTGTCCTCTAAAATAGGAAATATGTTTCTCTTAAATTCAGAAATTATGAAAGATACAGGAATTTAGGAAAGTTACATCTAAGCTTGCCCTCTTTTCCAGTTTCAGCTCCTCCCTTTTGTTAGCCGTGTGAACTTGTTTCAGTTACTTACCTATTTTGTTCCATAGTTTCCTTTTCTGTGAAATGGGAACATCCTCTGAATTCCATGGTTGTCATGAGAGTCAGTGAGATGGTCTACGCATATATGGTGTCTAACTTTGTGGCTGGCACATAGTAACATTTACCTTCTGCTCTGGCAGGCACTCTTATTTTCTGAACTAGGGGAGTCTTAGGTGGGGATTGTTAACAGCAAGCTGATAGAGTGGCCTTTGGAATCAGAGCTAGGGTTAAAATCCAGCCTTTTGCTACTGATCAGCTGACCTTAGGCAATGCCTCTCTAGACTGTTTCTTTATCAGCAAAATGAAGTTAATAGAGGGCACCTTTCAGGATTGATAGGCTGACTGACAGAGCTGCCTCAGAGACTGAACTCAATAAGGAGAAGGTATGATAGCCCTGATTATTTGTTTTCTGAGGTGGTCATTAGAATGGGCTGCAGCCTGTCTTTTTTTTTTTTTTTTTTTTTTTTTTAACTTGCTTACAGTCTGTTCCCTTGAAGTGTGTAAATTTTAAGAGTTCCACTGAGAGAGGAAATGTTATAAGTTCAATGACTCATTGTGATTAGATACTTTATCAAGAAACTTACTGCACATTCACTTTCCCCTTTATTCTGCCTTTGCTGCAGCCTCACAGTTAGCCAAGTTGGCCAGAACTTCACATTCGTGCTCACTGACATTGACAGCAAACAGAGATTCGGGTTCTGCCGCTTATCTTCAGGAGCGAAGAGCTGCTTCTGTATCTTAAGGTAAGGGAGAAGGCTTGAGCTGTTGGCTCCTTCTCTGAAGCAATGTCAGCTTCTGAGTTGTTCTTCTGTAATTAAATCTTCCAGCTGTTCGTTTCATTTTCCTATCTGTTTCCCACAAGTCACTGCATTTGGGGAGAAGGACTTCACAATGTTGTTCTTGCACTCTAAGTTCTGCAGATAATTGTATTTATTTATTTGTATCATATCCCTTGGGTGGGAAAAGGGACCATCTCTTCTGAGTAGTTTGTGGAAGCCAGAGAGTCAGTGTGGCTTCAGTGCCTTCTGCTGTTATCTGGAGCTGTCAGAAATTAGCCTGTTAGACTGTCTCTTGGACATTTTGTGTATGTAAGATTGTTAATAAAGTATGTGTCTGTAGCGCAGGACATCTTGCAGACACGGACTGTGTCCGCCTTAAAATAACACCCTTGCCCCCTTTGCGTCAGTAAATGAATAACTGTGTCCCAACTTGGCTACCTCTGTAAAGTTTTGAAAAAAGTGCAGGATCATATAAGAAGCCTTCTTCAGGTCTTCTAAAAGCCCCTCATACACCAGAGCCACACTTGCTTAAGGCTCTGTTTCCTCCTGCCAGAGGGGTGAGGCATGCTCTGGGGTGGGAGGATGTGTGGAAATCCGATTTTGGAGTTGCTGGCTCTGTGGGCTCCTGCTGGGCGCCTCCTGAGGGGGAAGTAAAGGCATCCCCCATGCTCCCCTCTCCATCTGCCTCGGTTAAGTAGGTGTCAGAAGGGCCTGCCTCCTGTCTCTCTCTGCTCGTGTGGAACAGCCAGGGCATGGCAGCAGGAGGTGCCCATGACAAAACCCGGGCCCCCAGGCTTGGGTTGGGCCTGGGTCTGGGGATAAAAGGCCAGACCCTCTATGGATTCCAGAAAGGGTAGTTCTCTGCGGCACTAGTCTCTGCACTTTCTTCTTCTCATCAAGAAAAGACTCCCCTACCGACCCCTGTCCCCCAAACCCACACACCCTTACACCATAGGGGAGGAGGGGCTGACTTTGGAAGTTCCCATGCTCACTAACTGTCAATCTGAACTGCTATATGTTTGCATTTCTCTACACAAATCTTAGTATCATTAGTGCTTTTAATCAGTGAAGTCTACTCTCTTCTGCACCAAGCATAGTGTCTGTAATCTGGGCGTGAGAGAGTGACTGCTGGAGAGGCTTTAGGAAGGAGGCTGCTTTGGGAGATTCTGTGTGTTCAGTTGTTCTCAAGCACACCTCAGTAGCCAGGCCCAAGAATTACCTGCCCAGAGTATTAGACTTTGATGTAAATGAGTATTTACATTTGAATTTAACAGTGTGGTCTTTTTCTTTTTAAAGAAAAATTTCTCTTTCAGTTTTGTCTGTTATACTTCAGCCCTGGCCAGGCTACTGCATATTCATACAGTTGACCCTTGAACAATGTGGGGTTAAGGGCATTGATACTCCTGCACAGGTGAAAATCCACATATAACTTTGATTCCTCAAAAACTTAACTACTAATCCATATCCTACTGTTGACTGGAAGCTTTACCAGTAACATCAACAGTTGACTAACACATATTTGTATGTTGCATGTATTATATACTGATTCTCACAGTACCGTAAGGTAGGGAAAATAGTACTAAAAATCATAAGAAAGAGAAAATATATGTACTGTTTATTAAGCGGAAGTGGATTATCCTAAAGGCCTTCATCCTCATTATCTTCATGCTGAAGAAAAAGAGGAGGGGTTGGCCTTGCTGTCTCAGGGGTGGCAGAGGTAGAAGAGGGGGAAGAGGCCAAAGGGAGGCAGGAGAGGCAGGTGTAACTTTTGCTTTAAAAAAATCCACACATCTGCCAGACACTGGGGCTTACTCCTGTAATCCCAGTACTTCGGGAGGCTGAGGTGGGCAGATCACCTGAGGTCAGGCATTCGAGACCAGCATGGCTAACATGTCGAAACCCCATCTCTACTGAAAAAAATAGAAAAATTAGCCGGAGTTGTGGCAGGCTCCTGTAATCCCAACTAGTTGGGAGGCGGAGGCACAAGAATTGCTTGAACCCAGGAGTCGGAGGTTGCAGTGAGCTGAGATCATGCCTCTTCACTCCAGCCTGGGCAACAGAGTGAGATTCTGTCTCAAGAAAAAAAAAAAAAAAAATCTTTGTATAACTGGACCTGAGCACCTCAAGCCCCTGTTGTCCAAGGTCAACTATGTATTCATTTTGGAGGTGGTGAGGCTTCAACTGAGTTCTTATAGTTTTGCAAAATGGTCTTTCCACATAATATTTTGGGGTTACAATGTTTCTTTCCAAGCTGTGTGTGTATGTGTATGTATACTCTAAACTGGTAATACCACTCCGCAAATTTGGAGAACAGGAAAGTATTTGAAGATGTACATCTAAACTTGCCTGTCTGTGATTCTGATGTGTGACTTTGTGTGCCTTATACAGGTAGGGCCATAGATTTTGTGTTTGTGAGAAGTTGGTTGGATAGTCTTCATGCTGTCATCCTTAGAATGAAAAATAGCAGCAACTGGTGTTTTTTGTTTTAATCTGTTATAATATATGGTTAGAACTATAGAGAAAAATTCGGTGGGTTAATTCATTTGTTTGTCATTTCTTAATTAAATGCCTACTATTAGCTAATCCCTGTCCTTGAGGAGTTCCTAGACTAGCTGGGGAGATGATCACCCTACTGTATGCTGTATATAATACATAGAATGATCCCAAGGCATAGTGTCTTCTTACTCTTTCTTTTCTAGCACGAGAGGATAGTGATGTGGCTCCAAATAAAAGAGTCCTACATGAATTCTGGAACATGAATTTTATGAGTATTTAATCTGAGAGCAGAGAAGCTCTCTATCTTTTCCAGCTTGTGTGGATATAAAGGGCACACCCAGTGACACTTTCCCTGTGTTGGGTTTGGGAACATTGCTAGGCTGAGACTAGCGTGTAAATGGAAGGGTTTACTGGTAAACCTGGATGACTGGTTGGCCGTGTATCCAATGGGGAATGGAGAGGTCTGCCAAGAGAATGAGGGCTCACTTTGGGTCTAGCTTATGCTGTTGCCATTGTCCTCTTCTGCTGCTTAGTCTCCTTGCTTTCTTTAGATACTCTTTCTTTAGTTAACCTGTGCCTTGAGGTCCAATCACCTGTCACAGTGTGCTCAGGGCAATGGTTCAAGTCTGCTCATAAACCACCTCTGCTTTTGCTTTCCATTTCTTCTCTCGAGGGATGTAGCTCCCAGTTATGGCATCTGTGCAGACATAGCCCCTGCAGTTCCAGGATTTAGCTTCACTTCTTCCCTGCCCCGTCTTCTATGCTTTCTGGCCCATATGAACCACTCAACAGTCTCTGCTTTCACGTGTTTACCCATCTTCCCAGACACCTCCTCAGAGTAGCCTTCCCCGGGTAGAGGTAATCATTCCCTCTCTGGCACACCCAGCGTACTTTGCATTCTTCAGTTATACACTCATAAGCCTTGGTCTTCCTTTGTTTTCCTCCTATTAGAAGGTCAACTCATTAGGGGTAAATGCTGTATCTTAACTATGTATCTCCAGCACTTAGTGTAGTGCTCGACCAGGATGTTGTGTACATTGTGTTCAGAGAAAGGGAAATGCATCAAGAATGGGAGGGCAGGGCACCAAAGACTTTGAATGAGAGGACAGGCGTCATGGGACATGCATTCCAGGAGGAAATATGAAATAGTTGTTGGAAGAAGTGTGGTTCACATTCCCAAATGCATTTCATGCTAGTTGTTTAAGAGATGCGTCTTTTAATCTCACAGTGGAGGTTCAATATTGAGTGATAGGCATTTTGTCCATGAAGGGTTAAGCCATCTGTATTTTAAAATTTAAACTTAATTTCACAATGAAAGGTTCTTAGACATCCTTTATGCACTGTAACCTACTTATTAGGTTCCTTTTTATTTTCTGTTCCTGCCCGCTAGGGCATGAGCTCCATGAAGACTGGGAATTTTTATGTTTTTTTTTTTTTCTCCTCCAGCAGATACATTTGAAGTTTATTGAAGAAATTCTGGCACATAGCTGGCACTCCCAGCTAATCTAGGAACTCCTCAAGGACAGGGACTTAGCTAGCACTTGTTTTATAAAGGAATGAAAGGGGAAATAGACCCATGTTTATTTAAAAAAACAAAAAACCCTTTTTAAGAAAAGTTGGTTTGAACTCTTGTTACCAGCTAACCTTGGCAGAAATCTAGTCGTACCAAACAAGTCCCATTAACACAAATGCCACTGTAAATCAAATGTATTATTTCCTCCTATGGTTGACTAGTTTCTGCCATTAAAGGATTTTACTTTTCCTTTAGATCTGCCACATTATTTAACAAGTTCCTGGACGGGAGTTGATAATAAATTTAAAACACCAGCTAGGAGAACAGTAGTTATGAGTTAGTTACTCTTCATCATAAACACAGGGATATGAGAGCGTTTTGGCATTTTCAGCTTGCACCATCTGTGTCTGGGGCGATATATGCATTTACCTCTGACATCTTTAAATATTATAAAACAAAGTGACCTAGAATTGAAATTTTGTTATGACATTTGATATTTGATTCACCCCAGTGGGACTCCATCAAGGCCAAAACTGTAATGAAAGATGCTATTTCTAACCAACTTCTAGTTCTGAATCAACAGAAGGAATGGAAGAATTCAAAGCTTTAAATTTGTTGTTTGAGGGTTGAGAGATGTGTTATACAGTAATTAAATATCTTTTGTCTTTTATAAAGGAACTACACAAATATTTGCCCTACAGTTTTCTCCTTCCATTGGGATGTTATTGACACTTTTGAGAAAGCTTGAGTAACTGTCCTTAAACACAAGTAAAACTCTTCAGAACCTATTGCACATTTTCGGAAGAAAAAAACTTTTTTCCTCTAGATGCTATGTAAATTTTTTTTAGTTTAACTTTTTAAATTTTTATTCAATTGAAAAGTATCCGAGTCCGGGTGCAGCGACTCACGCCTGTAATCCCAGCACTTTGGGAGGCCAAGGCAGGCGGATCATGAG